ACTTTTATTTATTATGTATCAATTAGTGTTGATGACTATTTTATTTTATTTTTTTTTTTAAAAAGGATCACCCATCTTCAACATCTGTAGATGCACTAGTCAACTAAATGATATTTTCACTATGCTAACCAGAGGTATTATACTGCATGGCGAGGTCATCCAAGAAAAAGCATGTTGTTAATTATCTTTTACTTGTATAAAATTGTTCAATGATAAAACAGAGATAGCTGAATCCTATATAGCTGGTATTGGTACCTAATTTCTCTCTCTAATAGGAAATGGCTGATTTCTTCAAATCAACAGTATCGTTGCCAAATAAGACTGGAGCTACTTATAAATTTTCAGAGCTTTTTTCATTCACCATTTCATTGACCTCGGTAACATTTTGACCATCATTATCAAGCCAGGGTGTCAAATGTTCCTAAGGTGGAAGAGTTGTCAGGTCTTCCTTTGTGGTAAGTGAACATAGCTCTGACAATGTTTTAGGAGTTTGGAACTCCTTCTTCATTTAAGTAGGACCCATGAGGTGGAGAGGTGGAGGCTTCCCGGGGATTCTCGGTATTATGTTTCTCTGCAAACACAAACACAAACTATTTGTTTATGTGCATTATTAGCGACATGAACAAAATAAAGGGTTGCTTTCCCTTTTTACATTAGTAGACATCCAGCATGTTATCATGTGGAGCGCCAAGGATTGTATTTCCTCATTAAAAGAGAATGCGTTAACAATAAATCAGGCTTAACTACTAAAAAAATATGACAGTATTCACTTTGATATACACAGTTGTATGTTCTATTATTTATTATAAAACCAACAACTTGGAAGTCCATAGAGCTTTAAAGAGACAAAGCAATAGCGAGCAGTTTTCAACCACAGAACTGCAGTACAATTCAGAACTAAAATCTAAGCAAATAAACTGCACGTTATCCATCCCTCCACTTTGGTGGAAGTCCTCACCTAGCTGAGAATTCGCATTCACATCTACCACACATTTTCCATTCAATATGACTCTGGGGAACTGTTAATAAATACTTTTAGCCAATTGACTATATGGAAATTGGTTTTCTTGATACATGCTTTACTATTATGTATTTTTAAATTAATTATTACGTTATTTTAAAGGGTTAGGGTTTGAAAAACATACTGTATGGAAGCCTTGTTCATTCCATGATGTGCCTGGTTTAAGGGAACAGTCAAGTAAAAAAAGAAGCATTGCTTATTTTATTTGCTATAATAAAGCATCTAGATATTGTAAAAATGACAAGTATACTGCTTTGCAATTCTTAGACCAATGTCCTTAAGACTTTCATGTCGCCTGTAGGTGCCAAAATGAATTCCCAGTAGTGTCTCATTCACTCTCAGGCATCTAAAATTGATACCATGATAAATCATGGATGCACATGTTGTCATGGTAGCAAAGGAAATGTTTATCTGCATAAAGCAATACTGCATCAACTTCTACTAACGGAGACAGAGCAAGGTGCTTCTGGAAATGAAACTTGGCTCCTACATGAAAGTGTGAAACATTTTGTAATTTCTACAGCCTGGGAGGGCGAGCAAACAAGCAAATCAATGCTCCGTACCACCTCATTCCACCCCTTTCAGAATTTTGAGGTTACAGTCACAACTCCAAGCACCAAAAGGATGTACAGTAATCCATACAATTCTAACCCTGCACATGCTGCCTATCCTGATTTTAATCAGCAGAGGAATGGTGGTTTGAGGCTAGAGCTCACAACTCCTGTGTTCGTGGCTAAGGGGAAATTGTCCCCTGCCACCTCCCCCATTTGCCCATTTGCAGCCCTTCCCCACATTGCCCTGTGATGTATTTACCCATATGAAATCTTGTTTCATATTCATCTAGTTCTAACAATAATAATGTAGAAGCATAGAAATATAGAATGTAATGGCAGATAAGAACCATTCGGCCCATCTAGTCTGCCCAATTTTCTAAATACTTTCGTTAGTCCCTGGACTTATTTTATGTATATTACAGATTCTGATATTTATTACACCTGGCAGGTAATGTTTTGAAACCCCGTACTGCATTGTGCATAAGGAGCTGGGGAGAAAGAAACTGCAGTATTCTGTTTTTCCAGATCTTCAACCTTCATATTACTATAACGAGAGGAACTTCTGCCTTGGAGTGTAAAACCACAGTAATGTAAAAAAGTTACTCTAATCTAGTTCTAGCCCCCCAAAAATCTGGCAAAATAAAAGATACAAAATTCTGAAACTTGTTAAGGTAAAATAATGATATTTAGAATTCTTAAAAACATTGATAAACCATTCAACATTTGGTCTTATTTTATTGATGTCTCTCAAACTTCTAAAATGCTTTATTTTCCCATAATACATGCATCACCATTTTGTATCCTATACTATTAAAAGTTAAATCATGCAAGTTTAAAGTTTGTAAAAAGTATATGTTGTCTGACTTATTTGCATATTTACATGGCATTTCGGGAGTTATATATATCCAAGCTTTTGGGGCTTTTTAGTCTATGGGAATTTTGTTTATAAAATTACATTTGCTTTATGATATATAGGTGTAACACAGCAATATATTTGATAGCTTACTTCACTGGGCAGTTGTTGGGTGTTTTTTTTCCAATGTTTGAGCTCACCACAATATTATTAATCTTCAATATCTACAAAAAAGATTTTAATATATTTCCAGTCCAGCTTGCATATCTTGGAGTGTAAGATAACATTAAACATGTTTTTAATATTTTAGATTAAAAAAAGTTATTGGGAGCTGCCTTTTCAATATACAATCCAGATATCTATGAAGTAGCTTTTGTAATACCATATCCCTGATTATACATCAGTTTATTTTACTGTTGTATAGGGCTGATCCTAGGGTCACAGTCGCCTCGGTGCAGAAATTATAATTTTTTGGTTCCCCAGGTGGGTGTGGCAATCTTCTCCCCCTACGAATGTCTATTTCAGACATGCATGTTTTCTAGCAACAACTCCACCTCTCCTTTAGGGGCTGTAATAGGGGATTAGGAGCTGTAGTAGGGGGTTAGGAGCTGTAGTGGGGGATTAGGGTGGTAGTGGGGGATTAGGGCAGTAGTGGGGGTTAAGATGCTGTAGGGGATTAGGTGCTATAGTGGGGGATTGAGGCTGCAATGGGAGATAGAGGTTGTAGTGGAGGATAGGGGCTCTACTAGGGTATAAGGGCAGTAGTGTGGGACAGGAGCTGTAGTCGGGTATGTAAGCTGTAGTGAGGAATTAGGATCTGAAGTAGTGGGTGAGGAGATGTAGTGTGGGTTAGGGGTAATAGTAGAGGGGTACAAAGGCAGTAGTGGGGAGTAAGGGGCTGTAGTGGCAGATTGAAGCTAAAGTGGGGTTAGAAGATGTAGAGGGGGATAGGGGCAGTAATGGGGGTTCTATGAGCAATAGTGGGGGTTTAGAGTGCAGTGTCCGGCTAGAGGCAGTAGTAGGGATTAGGGGGTGTAGTGTGGGGTTAGGGGTAGTAGTGAGGATTTTAGGGGTGCAGTATGGGGCTAGAGGCAGTAGTAGGGATTAGGGGGTGTATTGTGGGGTTTGGGGTAGTAGTGAGGGTTAGGGGATGTAGTGGGGGATTAGGGAGTCTAGTATGGAGCTAGAGGCAGTTGTAGGGGTTAGGTATTGTAGTGGGGGATTTGCTAATGTAGTAACGGGTTAGAGGTTGTAGTGGGGGGTTAGGTGGTTTAGTTGGGTCAATAAGGGGCATTAGTAAAATTAAAAAACAAAAAATACAGCCCCCTCCACACAGTCTCCTGCATGAACACTGCACAGTGCTGCAGCTTGGCCACGCCAGGGGGAGGGAGAAGTGCACAGACAGCGGCATGCAGGATTAATTATTAGCCCCGAGTGCCCTATTCTGGCCAGGAACAGTACAGGGCACTCAGGGCTAATAATAATAAATGGCACATTTTAGACCTGGGGCTTTTCGGGGGTCAGCTCAGGGCTCTATCCTTGGTCAGGCCCACCTGTCAACATCCCTGGTGCCCCCCCTTCTGCCGCAGCCCCCTGGCACCTTGGTTTGGTGCACCCACCAAGGATTGGCCCTGCTGTTATATGTTTCATTTTTGATCATGACATTAAGATCATTTCAGTAGTAGCAACACAGTGTAAATAATTATATTCCCAGCAGACAGATTTTCTAGCAAACAAACAAACATACAGGCAGCCATACGTGCCTCTTACTGTGTGGGATGGATGGACAGACAGACAGGCAGACAGATGGATAGACAGACAGAAGTATTTGTAAATAAACAGATAAAACAGGATTAAAACATTTTCTACTTCGGATATGTATATATTTAAAGAAGGGCCAAAGCTACATCGGGAGGAATACAAATTCTTGTTGGTATTGAGGGCCAGAGCTGGATCTATAAAGCTTTCAGGGAGATTAAAACAAATCTTCTTTTCTTTGTATCAAACAATAACTACAAATCTAATTCTCAAAAAATCTATAAAGAAATACTTTAATCCAACAACAGACAGCACCAGTATTCACAATATATTTGCACAGCTTCCAGCCAGTTACATTAGTCATTATTCAATTTCCATTTATTATTAATGATGCGCAAACAAAATGACAAATGTAATAATAATATGCAATCAAATTTTTGTTGTGAAGTTTATTTCCATTGAAATCAGAAAACTAAAATTCTTTGTTAAAGTATACCTGGCAAATATAATATAAACTGGACAAAAACATGGAATTATCTCTGTACACTGTGCTTGTGGAATTACTAGCAAACATAGAACTCGTTTGACACTTTCTTTAAATATTTGGAGGATGTTCTTCCTTTGAGTTATTACAGCTTAATGTTATCCCACGCCAATGGCGTTATATGCTAATTAAAAACATTTGATAACACAATTTTTAAATTCAAAATTTACACCTGTTGATACACTATGATGGGCTTTGTTGAAAAAAAAAATACACAAGCCAAACAAATAAATAATAATTAATTTTAAAAAAAAGATAAAAATGGTATCTGCCTTAGTAACATGTTTGTGAAACATTACATATGTATATACTAGTAGATAGTTATATGCATATATAATTGAATAGAAAAATCCAAACTAGGGAGCCTTCAAAAAAAGAGAGAACTTTTTTTCCCCAACGAGCCATCTTTGAGTACATGGTAAATCCACAGTAAAACACATGATCTCAGTAAAAGAAAAAGTTGCAGATGTTTAAAATCACTTTATTCCTTTATTTTACACCTCACATTCCCTGGAGCCTGATTTGTTATATGTACAAGGCCCAGAACCATTTATTGTCATCTCAGACTCATCCCTATTTGCCGGTTTGTAGTCTACATAAAATTCCTGGGATGATGGAGGCATCTGTGTTATTGGTGACCTATTTGAATGTCTGTGTTTTTTTAGAAGAGAACCCTGCTGCAGATGTCTTATGCCTACAGGAGATCTTTTCCACGAAACATAGATGACTAGAAATATCACCAGCACTGATAAGATCAATGCAACAGTTCCTGCTATGATTTTATGTAAAGAGATAATCTCTGAATCCCCACTGCTCTCGTGCACAGATCCTGTCATTGCAACAGTTGGTGGCATTGAATAGTTGCTATCGTGTTTAGTTCTGACAATGTTGTGTTTTACGACTGGACTCCTTTCATTATTTTTCAGTTCCCGGCTCTCTGTAATGCTTTTGCTGCAAATGTTATAAGTTCTGACTGCCTCCATTACATTCTCCCCCTGAAGATCTTTAGGGCCCGCACAAATAATTGTATTATCCCGCAAACCTTTAAAGTTCTTCAGCCAGTTTACCAAAGAACATATGTTCCGGCTACACTCCCAAATATTTCCTGCAAGACCTATGTCTGTGAGAGATATCCAGGTGTCCAGAATTTCTTGGCCAATGAAGGTTAGTTTGTTGGAATCCAGGTTGAGACGTTGTAAGTTGGGAACACATTGGAATACACTGGGTCCACTGAAAGCTTCTATCTCATTACCAGATAAATCCAGCCTTAGTAGGGATGTCCAAGTCCAAGACATGGTCTGGCCTATAAAACTGATCCTATTCCATTGTAAGTAGAGATTCTGAAGACTGACTAGTCTTGGGAAGAGAGCAAGGTTGAGCTTTGAGAAATGGTTGTGTTCCAAATGGAGTTCTTTTAACCTGATCATTCCAGTGAAGACATTCCTGGCTAAACTTCTAATTCTGTTATATCCTAAATCCAAAAGTTCTAGGTTTCTGCAGTCTTGGAATATCCTTACGGGGATTGTTCTCAGTAAATTTGACCTTAGATGTAAACTCTGCAGCTTCCTTAAGCCTTTAAACTGCCCAAGTCTCAGTGTCTGAATGATATTATAAGACAGATCCAAATTCCTCAAGTTTGTCACTGGTTGAAAAGTGTTATTTAAAATAAGAGAGATCCTGTTAGAACTAAGAACCAATTCCTTGAGTCTACGAATCCCATTGAAGGAATTTTCATCAATATCACTAATATGGTTGTGGTCTAAATACAACCAAGTGAGCTGATTGAGACCTTTAAACTGATTGTACTTCAGTACGTGAAGACTGTTATATCGGAGAGATAAACCTATACAGCCAGGAGATAAAGATGATGGGATTTCCTGCAGCTTCTGAGATTCACAATAAAACATTTTTCCATCACATCTACATCCTGGAGGGCACCCGCGTTCAGCAGATGACAGCATAACCATGAAACATACCAACAGAGCTATTAGCATAGATACAGCTGATCCACTTAGTAACCGATAAGGGTTGACACCTACAAGTAAAAGGCTAGAAGTAATTTTTCCTTATTTATACAAACAGATTGCACATGATTATACATCCAATGCACACTCAATGAATGCTATAAAGGGCTTATGTGCATAGCTTTCATCACTGACACAAAGGGTTAATATCTCTAAATTCTCTCCAAGCCCCACCACCACTCATGTACTTACATTCAAGATCTCTCTCTCTCTCTCTATCTATCTATCTCTCACAATCAATATTTTATCTCTCTATCCCTCTCTTTATCTCTTCATAATTGTATCATTTTATCCATTTATCTCTCATTCTTTCTCTCTATCTATCTCTCAAAATCAATATTCTATTTCTGCATCCTTATTTTTATCTATCTTATCATTCTATCTCTATCCCTTATATACTCAATCAATGCAGTACATGTGTATGTATCTACAGCAGTACATTGTTGCTTTATTCTTCCCCCTGTCCACTTGTGTGCATGTGTGTCACAGATGTGTGTTTCTGTAGCTTATCAGTACCAGCAGACACACACATCTGTCTGCCCATGCCATGTATGATCCTGTCAGTGCTGTAGTGAGTGTCTGTCAGCATTGAGACATGAAACGTACCCATGCTTCGTTCATTTGAGAGCAGTTCCTCAGTCAGGTGTAGTTATTGCCTATGGGGCCACAGGCATTTAGCCTCTGCCAGCTGCATTGTGGTGAGTCAGGGTTCCCTCCACACATCCCCTGACTTTCCTTCCTCACCGAGATGGGCACTTTGCACCATGGTCACCAGACTGCCTTTTTTTGCAATTCTCCAGCACTTAATGGAAGCCCCCAGGGCGATTTTGGAAGATTCCCTTTCTTTACTTCTTCCCATTGATTGATCCCCAGTAAATGTCCTTTTTTTTTTTCCTTCTTCCTACTGTCTCAATCTTTGCATCAATACGCCATGGTAATTAGACTCATCACAGTCCGCCTGTAGTTTTTTTCACTGAGGCAATCAAGGATCCGATCCTGCATCTAAAATATAATCCAGGTCCCATCATGTACCGCCAGTCTGGTGGTTTAGAAGCAGTTATAAAGCTTGCTGGCTTTAACGAGGCATACAAGATGCGTTCAGTGCGTTCTGTAAGTATGCGCTTGTTACACTGTTACTGGCTAGATAGAATTTCTATGAGAGGCCAGCGCCCTCTAGTGGTGTTTTACGAGTCTAATATCATGCATATTTTGTATGTTCTGTTCTGTAATAAACCTGTGTGTTTACAGCTGTGTTACATTCATTTTCTAATTATTCTTTCAAAGGTTACAGCTCTTATTTCCAGGCTCTGGGGTACTGGGAAAGCTTAACTGTTAATAAAATTGAATGATAAGTGAAGCACACAAACAAATACAAAAAAACCCCAAAACCTATTTACAGTTGTGTTACATTCATTTTCTAATTCTTCTTTCGAAGGTTACAGCTTTTAATTCCAGGCTCTGTGGTACTGGGAAAGCTTAAATAATAATAATTGAATGATAAGTGAAGCACACAAACAAATGCTCACACAAATGCATGCATGCACTGCTGTAACTGCGGCTGGTTCCCTTATTTACCACTATAATGTCTTAAAGCATAGAACTTAGTAGGGCTAACCATACAGATATATTAGCCATAATATTATATAGTTAGTGCAAGAGATCCTCTATTTAACATATATAAATAATTGAGAATACAATATAAAATAAGGATTGTCTTGGAAGCAATAGTTTTGTCTTTTTGCATAATTATTATATAAAAATATAAATATAAAATCCATTATAGCAGAGTTTATAAGATTAAACTAAATGCTTGCAAATATCATTAATAGGTTAACATAACCTTCTGAACATGTCATCATGTCAGCCTCTCTGTCATTTTAAGATGGAGCAGCGTCTGTCTCCAAGTCTCTCCTCTGTGTCTTAACATTTAAAAGTACACCTATTTATACCTTAGGTGTCTCCATTTTAGGGTCACTGTAGTTCATATATGAAAAAGTAACACTTCTTTTACTTTATTCATTTTAGGACCTCCCTTAACTTGGCATACATACAAGGCCATAACTAAAGGGTGCATACGTCATGGAAATTTTCCTGACTTAATTCAAGATGGCATCTTAAAGTCTGGACATCCTTATCTACTTAAGGTTACCACAGTATATTACGTACTGAAAGAGTCATAGCATAGCCTTGAAGCTTGTTAATGCATTATTGGTATTGTAATTTGTCTGGGACAAAATGGTGCAAACATATTATGCACTGAGGTTATTGCTTAAAGAAACAGTTATGAAAAACAATATGTTCCATTTCTAACATCTTGTCAGTTTGCAATATCTCTTAAAGACAAAGTACACAGTTTAAGAAATACAACATTTCATTCTAAAACTTGTAATATTTGCATTTGCCCATAACACTCCCCTCACACACACAAACACAGTGATCCCTCCTCACACACAAAACACAGTGACCCTCCAACCCCCCCCCACACAGTAATATGTACATGCACAAACACACATACATGCACATGTGCGCACACACACACACACACACAGTTTTTAGAACAAATAGCTAAATACTTAAATATTAAATATATTTAATGGTAAGAGAAGAATACACATAATTCATTTTTGAAATTATAGTAATAGTACTACTGAAAATAACAAAACCAGCATGTGCATTGTGCTAGAATTATGTTTTCTAATAGAGTGTTAGAATGAATTGATGAACACTGAAATATTTATAGAAGCACACACAAAAACACGCACACATGCCCTCCCACAAGCAATTGCAAACACTATAACCTATGCAAAATCACAGCCTCGCCTGTAAATATGCATGCATGCACACATGCACTTCCATGCACACACGGTGAATATTAAGAGGTAATGAATTTACAATACTAGAAAAACATGTGCACCCTGTTGGAATGACAAGTTTTTTCATGCTTAGTAATAGATTAACTAATTCATTTGTACGTATATAAATTGCTTTCTTCACATTCCAAAGTCTGTGAAAAACGTTTCCAAAATTCACCTAGAACCTGCTTTTTCCACTCTTAAATCGGGATATGTAAAAGAAAAAGGAATGTCTACTTTTTATTCCCAGAGACAGGTGCCAAAAGACCTAGTTGAATTTAAGGACCAAATTTAATTAGAATCTTTCTTGAGATTCTCTGCATAGATAAATAGCAGCAAAAGGGAGAATAATGGACGTATGATACTTGCATGGATTTTTGGTGTCTGTCATTCTTGGATATGCCAGAGTATACAAAGCAGTCACAGCTGTTTAAATGGAAATGATGTCCCAAAATAATTGAAGCATAACTACTATTATAAAATATGCAGTGTCTCCTGCCACCAGTCTTTTTGACATGTGCAGTTGCAAACCTCTGATATATGTGAATAAACTAAAAAAATAATGTATCTGGCTGCAATATGTTATAGTTTTGCCAGTGCACAGGCTGATAATTTCAGACAAGTAGCTTAATGATGAAAACAAGCTCACTAAACCTTTAAACTTTGCTAATTTCTATATATGCTAACCTAGAAAAATTAAAATCTTAATTTGGGGTTTTCACTGATGCTGGATGTCCACATGCAGAACAGTCCGGTAAAATCCTGGAAGTGCCTCTTGTGGCTGTATGGTAGACAGCCACTAGAGGCTATCTTTGTGCTGCAATGTAAACATGCAGTTTCTCAAACTCAAACAATGTAGAGCTAACAAGAATCTACTAAAGGAATAGTACAGATGCAGGGGCTGTGGCCACAGGCACCCAGCGAGACTTATCAAACCATATGAAAATGTTAAGACTTCACCATAACCACAACAAAGGGTGTAGTAGTTATGGTGCTTATAGTGTTTATTTAAAGGGACATTCCAGGCACCCAGACCACTTCTGCCCATTGGAGTGGTCTGGGTGCCAACTCCCACCACCCTTAACCCTGCAAGTTTAATTATTGCAGTTTTTATAAACTGCAATAATTACCTTGCAGGGTTAAGTCCTCCTCTAGTGGCTGTCTATCAGACAGCCAGTAGAGGGACTTCTGTGTTCTTAGAACACAAAAAGTGTTTTAAACGATGCTGGACATCCTCATGCTATGAATGAGGACCTCCAGCGTTGCTGTAATCCCCATAGGAAAGCATTGAATAATAATGCTTTCCTATGGGAAGCTCTAATGTGCGTGTGAATGTGAGAAGCGTGGGCGGAGCCTGACCCAGCACCGAGGGACATTGGCACTGGATTCAGGTAATTCACTGAAGGGGTTTATACTCACCAGAACAAATACAATAGACTGTAGTTGTTCTGGTGACCTGGTCCGGACTGGCCATCAGGCACACCAGGCAAAGGCTCCTTGGGCTGCGATGGCCATGGGCCAAGGCCAGAAGGGGAGATCTCCCCTGCCAGCCCAAGGATCTCCCCTGCTGGCCCATGCTGGGCAGCACCAGCCCTAAGAGGGACCACTATCCCTCTTAGAGATTAATGGGCTGGAGGGGATAAATTGATCCCCTCTCGTTCCCGCTCGTGCCGGGAAGCCTCTGTCTTCTTGTACACTTCGATATTAACAGAGCGTTGTCATAGTAACCTGCGGCAATACTCTGAAATATCAGCGAGATATCTGAGAGGCAGAGATATGGTCTGTACCATGCATGGTACAGACCAAATAACCAACTGACTGAACCACCAGGGATCTGTGTGCAGCGTGCCCCCTCTCATTGGACCACCAACAATATGTGTGCTCCCTCTCCCCTGCAAGGTAACAAGGGAGAGGGGGAGTAAATGTGACAGTTTATATTTTATTATTAAATTAAGCAATCCACTATCCTACCCCCTATATACACATATATAGTACACCCCTGTACCTAGACACTCTCTGCCCACTTACATACACATAGTGCACCCCCTGCACCTACACACTCTGTACCCCCTTACATACACAAAGTACACCCTCTGCACCTACACACTCTATACACATAGTACACACCCTGCACCTACACACTCTGTACCCCCTTACATACACAAAGTACACCCTCTGCACCTACACCCTCTATACACATAGTACACACCCTGCACTGACAGGCTCTATACCCCCTCACATATACATAGTAAACGCCCTGCACCTACACATGCTGTACCCCCTTACATACACATAGTACAACCCATACACCTACACATGCTGTACCCCCTTACATACACATAGTACAACCCCTACACCTCAACATTCTGTACCCCTTTACATACACATAGTATACCCCCTGCACCTATACATGCTGTACTCCCTTACATACACATAGTACAACCCCTGCACTTAAACACTCTGTACCCCCTTACATACACATAGTACAACCCCTGCACCTACACACTCTGTACCCCCTTACATACACACAGTACACCCCATGCACCTACACACTCTATACACATAGTAAGCCCCCTACACCAACACGCTCTATACCCCCTTACATACACACAGTACCCCCCCTGCACCTACACCCTCTATACTCCCTTACGAACACACAGTACACCCCCTGCACCTACACACTCTACACCCCCTTGCATACACACAGTACACCCCTGCACCTACACACTCTATACACATAGTAAGCCCCCTACACCAACACGCTCTATACCCCCTTACATACACACAGTACACCCCCTGCACCTACACATGCTGTACTCGCTTACATACACATAGTACAACCCCTGCACCTGCACACTCTGTACCCCCTTACATACACACAGTACACCCCCTGCACCTACACGCTCTATACCCCCTTACATACACACAGTACACCCCTGCACCTACACACTATATACACATAGTAAGCCCCCTACACCAACACGCTCTATACCCCCTTACATACACACAATACACCCCTGCACCTACACACTCTATATACATAGTAAGCCCCCTACACCAACACACTCTACACCCCCTTGCATACACACAGTACACCCCTGCACCTACACACTCTATACACATAGTAAGCCCCCTACACCAACATGCTCTATACTCCCTTACATACACACAGTACACTCCCTGCACCTACACATGCTGTACTCGCTTACATACACATAGTACAACCCCTGCACCTACACA